TTTTTTTTTGTTAAAACATTCTGGTATTTTCTTTAAAAAATGTCAAAACACTTTTGTTGGGTGACATTCAATAAAAATAGCCTCAGTTAACAAACCTAAAGCTTTTTAAGATCCAATAAAATGCAGCATGGGTCACAGGACGAGATGTCACCATTTTGGTGTTCGCATCAAATTCAATTTACAAAAGTCATTTTGAATGCATAAAAAACATGTTGATTGCAAGTAAAGTGTCTACAGGTGTATCGCAATAAATTAGAATGTCGTGGAAAAGTTCATTTATTTCAGTAATTAAACTCAAATTGTGAAACTCGTGTATTTCAAATGACTTTTGTAAAAATAACATGTCAAAATATGGGGGAAATAATGTTCTAAAGTGTAAAATTGTCATTCAGCTTAATGGTCCGGACTTTGATTTTACCATTACATCTTTAAATAAACATAAAATAACAAGTTAAAAATACTTTTATTTTCTTTGGCATTTTCTAATAAATGTTGGCTGTGTTATATTAAAAGGATTATGTCTTATTGCTTTTTTTAAAGTATTGAAATAACCAGGGGACTTTTGTCCTGAAAATGCAGTTTATCAGAGATCATTCAGTGTAACAGGAACAAGAAGCCATTCTAAAATCATATAAAAAAACTGATAGTCATTCAGCAGTCTGTGACATAATCAGATGGCACCTGGAAGACTGTGTGGTGCTGCAAGAAAAGTGACTTTATTGCTCTTAAATATTTGATAATTTCACCTGTCCATGGTGTGGCAATCCTAAATGACAAAAACACGTCATTCAGTGAAATGGCAAAAAACAATATACTTATTCTGACCAGTACTTAGTGAAATAGATAAAAGAATGTGATCATACTAAATATTTTTATATTTTAAAATGACTTTCACTTCCTTACAAAAACTTCTTGCTGACAAATGGGTAAAACCTAGTGGTTTGAAGGCAAAGTATAAAGATTTAAAAAGGTATAAAGATGTTTAAAAGGTATTTGAGGGCTGCACTGCATCCTTAAATATAATATTTTAATTTGTCATTAAATGATTCTTGTTTAAAATATGCCTAACAAAATGTATGGTATAATTATTGTTACACTGAATGACATTTTAGTGGGTGTCTTCTGTAAATTATGGTTAAAAATGTCTTATAGTCATTATTTTTTGCTCAGAAAAAAAAATAAATAAAATGAAGCGGTATACATGGGGGAAAAAAACATTTAAAGCTGTATTACACTTTTTAGTTTTTATGCTTGAACCCCCCTTTTCGTCTTTAATCCAGTATACAAAAAGCAAAGGAAAAATATCAATCAGCATCATCATTTTCCAAAATTCACTTGTTTGAAACCTGGCCCTTTTGTAACTATTCGAACAAAACTAAACTTTTGCAAGAGAACAATCAAGAGTAAAGACTGCAACCCGAAAATGCGTTACTAACAAACAAAAGCTTCCGACAAGGTGAAGAGAAGCAAACATGTCAGTTCCAGTGTTTTTGCAAGAGAACAATCAAGAGTAAAGACTGCAACCCGAAAATGCGTTACTAACAAACAAAAGCTTAGACAAACAACTCATCGCCTGCACTGCGAGCAACGCGACGCGACAAACTCGAGCGCTCTCTTTATAATCTACAGCGAGCGCAAAAACCTTCGGACAAATTCGTTGATTATAATTGGTGCGCTCCAGTTTTGACGCGTCGCGTAGGAATGTGATGTATAGACAACAACCCTGTCATTATGAATAACGAAACTAAACGATGAATTGGACTTCTTGTCTAAAAGCCCTCTTAATTACTTCAGTGTGACGGGCTTAAATGAAACTTAATGTTGGAGGACAGCACGCTAAAAATATCGACTTTAGCCTAAAACTTCATTCTTTTAAACGCACAGATTCTCTTACCTTCAGTGGTGTCGTGGATTCAAATGACAGTTTATTGGTAACACACTGCTGGTCCGGTGTCGTTTCTCTGTTGGATACAGGGGAAGAGCAGCTCATTGTACTGTCATCCTGAGGAGAACACCTGGAATAGAGCAGACTCATGCAGAACTGACACAAACACTTTTGCCATGAAGTTTACGTAACACCACTATCCGCTGTCAATGGTAGTGTCACAAAACCTTAAACGCTGCCTACATAGACTGCATGTTTAGGTATCATAGTCAACTGAACTGACGCACAACGCGTCTTTGATTCTGTAAAACATGCTGCACGTACCTGTAATGCTCAAAAATGCGGGTTAGGAACACGTCTATGATGTCCGTTATGCTGTCTATATAGGCGGCTCACTAGGTTTTGTAACACGGCCAGTGTGCTGACGTAAGGCATGGCTGGAACAACATGGAGTTTCTTAAAGGGCTATGGGCACATGTGGAACATGAAAACCCATTATTAAAACAGTGGCCCCAAAAAAAACATTTAGACACTTGATCTTATGAATCTTGCTTGTATATCTAACATGTGAAATCAGCAAGTGAATGGTGCTAGAGCTTTTCTAAGCACAGACTTTAGTTTATTTATGAAGTCAGTTCCCCTCAACATCACACAGGTGTAGCTCATCACATTGACTGACTGCAGTTTATGGACATACATCTGACAAGCAGAAAGTATCAGAATACACTGTCATAAACCACATTGTCTTTTCTCTAACAGTGTTTTCATGCTTGTGCCTAGTTCTTATTGAGTTAATAAAATAATATTTTGTGAATTCAGCAATCCCTTCAAACAATTCCAATATTGATATCATTTTGAAACTGCACTTGGATACAGAAATAAACTCACTTGTTTATTTGTTGTCACAAAAGATCTATGCATATTCAATGAACTGTCTACAAAGGTTTATTTGTTACAAGGTCTTTTAACTCACAACTAATCAATTATAGTTTTATCTGTCACAATTAATTATATGATTATTACGAATGAATAGACCTATCCTAAAACTGGGAATAGATAATATGGAATTATAAATATATTTTGATTTTATACATTTGATTTTGATTTTCAATTTTAAGAATTAAAGAAATGTACTGATAATAGAAATAGTGAACAGCTCTCATCTTATTCCAGAAAACAATAGGCTTTAGTGTTGTTATTGTTAACTAAAACTGTTAAAAATTAAATTAAGCTGAAATAAACTAAAATATAAATATTAGATGAAAAACTTAAAATATAAATGAAAACTGGAACTGTTGCTTTGTGCAACTAATTGAAATAAAGAGCTACTGAAATTACCAACACTAAAATTGAAATAAAAATGAATTAAAAGATAAATATTTTTTAAAAATATTAATATGAAAATAAAAGCTAAAATATTAATACTGTAATACACGCATAATACTAAAATAGCACTGCTAATTTAAGACATTTCTGAAAATAAATAAAATCTGAAAGCACAACCGACACAACAGAATTCAATACAAATAGATGAAAGGAAGATAACATTTATTTCAATCATGACAACTCTCGGAACATTTTAGCATGGTGATGGATATGACAATGTTAATGCATTTGGTCTTGGCGGAACAGATCTGCTACGCTGCTGCTGAATTGCTGCTGCTGTTGGTTATTGCTGTAGTTGTAGATTATTGCTGCTGCTGCAAGCAAGTACAGGAACTTGCTACTGCCAATGCATATGGCGATACGGTGCCATGAGTATTTAAGACATACTGCTGCTGCACAAATAGCATATAAAATAACCCCGTAGCAGATCTATACAGGTGAAGCTGGGGAAGGTGGAGGGTTTCAAAGAACTCTGAAAGCGTGCTGCAGGAATCTCAAGTGAATGCTAGCCAGCCATATAAATGCAAGGCAGTAAGCTCATTGGCTGCATATGCAGCATGAACCAATCAGCTTGTGCCAAGTCGTTTAACTCTCAGTTCAGTCGTTTAAATATCATCAGTTACGTTAACACCCCATCAGAATGCGCCATCTAGAGTTTCATGACTGAACTATATATTCTAAACAATCATTTTCTTCAATGAAGTGATCATTCAGTAAGGCAGGTTTCTAAAAAAAAAATACAAAAGGTATGATGGGTCAATACAACAGCTTACTTCAAAAAACTGCTACTTTATTTTTAATCTTAAGATTACACAATCTTAAAATACAAAGAAATGAAAGAGGAAAAGAATGTCTGAATTACACACAATTCAATAAATATCCTCTATAAAGAAACCCTTGAAAAAGAGCCCCAAATAATGATGTTAGGGAGGCAGAGGTGATATGCAGAATAGCTTACACGGAGTGACCATTTTCTGAGAAAAAAAACAACGACAAGACAACTGCAAGTGCTGTACAAGTATGCTACAGAAACACCCATGTCACATGACAAAGGCACCTGGCTGGGACAAATTAATTGTTCTGGCTGTTTCCATCATCATAAGCATTTTTTCTTCAGCAAATTTGAACTTAACTGTTCAACTACATAAGAAAAATTCATAATCTGTCCTTTTAAAATGACTTAAGGTTTGTGCATCTATTACTATTGCATTAATTCTTGTATGCGAGACCACTTCACCATGTATGTATTATTACAGAACATCATTTAAACAGCTTTTGACATCCAAAGAAAACACCATGACATATAGTTTTGTTCTTGAAACTGATTAGCAATAACACTTCACATTAATAAAGCTGTTAAAATTAGGATGCCAGGTGAAATGAAATATCTGGCCACAGCGACACAGTCGTATTCTCGTTCGATAAGTGCTGTTCTTATTTGAACATGTCATTGAAGGCTCTGCCAATGATCATCCTTCTGACCTCACTGGTTCCAGCTCCTATCTCATAAAGTTTAGCATCTCTTAAGAAGCGGCCCATTGGGTAGTCATTAATGTAACCGTTTCCACCTGTGAACAGATGCAAATGTGAGTCAACTAGAGCTTGAGTCATAAGACCTGGGCTTATTGAATTAGCAGGACTTAATTTGACACAATCGTGAATGGTTCCATTTTTAAGCTCATCTCAGAGTTGCTGTCATAGCAACAGGACCAGTCTAACATTAGCTGTTCAAACTGTTGGATCAATATATAAGCATTACAATCAATCAACACATGAAACTCAATTATCTCAGGCAAATCAAATTTGCATGTATGTTCAAAACACAAAGCATCTATGGCAACAGGTACAAGTTTGACTTGTTTGCCGTTTATACACTCAGTAACTCCATGCTGTGGTAAGAATGAATAAAGACAGAAGGTTTGGCCCTGATCTCTGCCTAAGGTACATCGGGAGCTATTTCTTGTAGCTTTTGCTGTGCTAACAATTAGGCACTCACCCAGGCATTGAATTCCATCCAAGGCAACTTGAGTCGCGTTCTCAGCACAATAAAGGATTACCCCAGCACAGTCCTACAATAACATCACAAATCAGTACTGCTACTACACACTCTGCAAGCACTGTATGCATCATTTCCAAGCCGATATGTAACATTATAAAACAAAGCAGTCAAATAACATAAACTGGGTATAGAGCTCTTACCTTAGCACTGAAATGGCCTTTTGTCACAAAAATTATTTTGATTACTTTTATTGCCAAGGGAACAAATAACTTTACATAAATAAAATTAAATTATGTGTATAAACTACCATTCAAAAGAGTTTTTTTTTTATGTTTTTGAAAGAAGTCTCTTATTTATTTGATAAAAAACACAGTAATATTGTGAAATAGTATTGCAATTAAAAAAAACTACTTTTCTATTTTAATATATATTAAAATGTAATTTATTCCTGTGTTTGCAAAGCTGAATTTTCAGCAGCCATTACTCCAGTCTTCAGTGTCACATGATCCTTCAGAAATCTTTCTAATATGCTGATGTAATGCTCAAGCAATATTTCTTTTTAAGATCACAGATTAAAAGGGTTGTATTAGTTTCCATAAAAATATTAAGCAACATTTTTTCAGGATTCTTGTATGAATAGAAAGTTCCAAAGAACAGCATTTATTTGAATTGGAAACATTTTGTAAGAATGGAAAAGTCTTTACTGTCACTTTTCATCGATTCTTGACAAATAAAAGTATTAATTTCTTTCAAAAGACCCCACACTTATAGTAATATAGTAATATGGTTCTAATTATATGTTTAATTAATAAATTCTATAATGTTTATTACTGTTAAAGAAAGTTATTATAAAACGATACCTATGGTTTATGGTGAAAAAAGTTTCCATTTAAAACCAGTTTGAATTTATTCAGCATTTTCATTTGTTGGACATGTAACAGGTTGTTGAGCGCACATATAGTGCGACACTTCTAAAGCCTGGGAAACACCTCATATTAAAAGTATTATTAAAAAATAGATGAACCCGGAAATACCATGGCCGAGTGTTTGTTGGCAAACAGTAATTTCATTTATTAATAGACAAACATTAAACATGTTGAACAAACAAATCCTCAAATATTTCAGAGTGAAAAGCATACCTGGAAGTGTCCGATTTTCTGTCCAAAGGCTTCACGAACATGTAGGTAAGGAATTGCATGGTCAAGCACAGCTTGCATGATGCTGAGGGAATGCAGAAAATGGTCAAAAATAACTATTAGACAATTTACATTTCTAAGCATGCTACTGAAAATAAACAGAGCAACAATTACCCAACAGGTCCAGAAGCCAGGACGAGTCTCTCTAGGTCCAGCCCACTCATCATAACATATACTCCTTTATTTAACGGGCCCAATATGTTTTCCTCTGAAACCACAACAGAACATTTTAAAATGTTGTTTGGACCTCCAGCATATTCAGACATAAAAAAATATGTATAATAGACTTCACACACCAGGGATTTTGCAGTCTTCAAAGATGAGTTCACAGGTGTTAGATCCTCTCATTCCCAGTTTATCCAGCTTCTGCGCCGTGCTAAATCCTGGCATGCCCTTCAAGAACACAAGCACAATGATTATGACATGCTTATCAATTGAAGCTGCTGCCTTCCTGATCAACAGATTAAAAATGAAACATTCAATCAGAATCTCAACGCTAGGTGTAATATGATTTCAGACTGAACTTTAAACGGTAATCAATCATTCAGTAGGACGTGGTTCAGCTTTTCTAACCTTCTCTACGATAAAAGCAGTGATGCCACGGGCTGCTGCCTCTGGGTCTGTTTTAGCATACACAATCAGAACATCTGCGTCTGGTCCGTTCGTAATCCAGAACTTATTACCGTTCAACACGTAATGATCCCCTTGTAGATGACAGATAAAAGGGAAAAGAATAAGACAGCCAAACATGTGTTGTCTGGGCTTGTCTGGTTAGCAATACTCATTTAGCCCTTGATGGTACAGTAGATGCCTCAACTACACCATTCTAAGAGCAAGATGCATCTTTTATTTAGACAACCATTCAAAAGTATTTATGTATTCTAATTAAAGTTTTTTCAGACAATATAAATCACTAATATGTCATTACATTATAGTAAATGATTTGCTAGTGATAAATTTATTTGAAAAGCTCATATCCGATATATCGGCCCATATTCTTTGTGTAGGCTATATCACAGTACAGTATATTAAAAAGTTTGACTGGTATACTGTATATAGAATACAGTATATACATAAACACATTTTTTGCAATGATAACTCAAATGTGGTGATCAAACACGTGTGAGTCACTATGTGACAAATAGGCCTATGTAATGGAAGCAGGTTATTTAACAATTTAACAATAAACTTTATTATTCAAAATGAGTCTGACATCAGTGCACTTAACAGTAAACTACACTTATTATAAATAACTTAAAAAACACAAATAGAACAAAATATATATAACTTGAATTAAGAAAATAAACAAGGTAACTGTGTAGGGCAAGCAAGCTATCCTGCCAACAATGGCATTTTCTTCTCCATATAAAGCGCAACTCTGCTTTATTTACAGCGGTAAACAAGGAAACGCTATATTTTTTACTTCCAGGTTTCTTCCCACCGGAGCCTCGCTTTCGATCTCAATATGGCGGCTGCGTGAAATCGGCGTATAGTGCGGTCGGTTCATAAGCAGTGTCGCCAAGTCCGCGGTTTTCCAGCGGAATTGGGCTACTTAACACTGTTGCCGCGGGTTGTTGTTCATGTCCGCGGGTTGAAGCGACCCCAA